TGAGAGCATCAGAGGATCTAAAGGATGAGAAAGGACGGAGAGCAACCGGAGGGAAACTTGAAGTGTACGTTCATCTACGTGAGCCTCTTAGCGGCTGTGATCAAGAGGAGAAAGAGCAGAAGCGGTTAGTGTTCCAGGAAGCCATTGCTAGTGAGCCCACTGTATCCATGGTACGTCCAACAGTTAGTACAGGACCTGCATCTTCTCTGATAAAAGTGGAACAGACAACTAGTCTTGATGCTCTTAAATTAGAGTTCTCTCTTGTACAAAAGCCATCAAAGCAGGTAAGAAGGATCCTGCTATTGTTCAGCGTGGTCGTGCCTTACAGTCTAAGATTCAAGAGACTAAGCAAAGACTTCAAAGTGACGCTGGATTCAGATGAGAGTACTTGTTGGCCATTGGCCGGGAAATAAAGACAGAGAAGGTTTATGAGCAACAGCTAGTGCAGGCTGGTAGGACTGGAGAGGCTAAGATAATACAAGGAAGGAGGAGAGTAATGGAAAATGAAATATCTAAAATGACAAAAAATGAACATTTGTCTTAATTAATAATTGTGCTAGTTTATAATTAAGCTTAGAATTATTATAATTGTTTTAGTACATTTTTTGCTAGCAATCATCTATTCTTATTGTATACAACTCAGTATTAAGATATAAGCCACAGTGGGGTGTGTAGATTGATAGCATACTTTACCCTGACCAAAAGGCCAGTGTTAGTTTTGTCAGAGGAAGACTCTGTTATCTTGCAATTTAGGAAGGTGAAGTGGCAAGAAAAGTTACTGGTAAATCATTTTCATTATTATTAATCCATTTCTTGTGTATACAGGATAAAGTGAGTGGCTATTCTGTCAAAATGTCAGTAATTAATTTTATTGTAATGCTTTTCATTTTTTACACACTACTCCAACACAAAAAGAAGTAAGTACTTTAGATGAGTGTTCACGTGTGCATCTATCATCATTTTTATTATTAAATTTCATTGAATCATTTGTGATGCACAACAAAATCATGTTTACAGAAAGTTAGTACAGATGTATTATCCTTTCTTCTCTCTTACACTTCTATCTTTAATGTCCAAAATGATATTTAAAATGCAATAGAGTGTTAGTAGATTCACTGCACTAAGTGTAAGTAGCCATTTCATTTTGGATGATACTGCTTTTCTTCTTCAATCTATATAATACAACAAACTCTTAATTACAACACAATAGATGGTAAGATTTAATTTCAGAGGATTGTTTACAAGTGTATCTATTATCTTTTCTATCTTTAATTTCATTCATTCATCTGTGATACACAAACTCTTATTTTTAACACAATAGGAAGTAAGTGACTTCATGTCATGTATAATGTATATAATCGTTTTTTCATTTATCTGTAATTCACAAATTTTTGTTTATAACACAATAGAAGGTACATAATTATACTAAATCTAATTATTATAGCCAGTATAATTTTTTCTTTTTATTTTTAATTTTATTCCTTCATTCATCTATAATCAATTTCTTATTTCCAATGCAATAGAAAGTAAGTAATAATTTATTTTAATTTTAGATGATTTATTGTCATTTCTATCTTTAATTCCTATTCATTCATTTGTGCATGATACATAAACTATTATTAAACACTATAATAGGAAGTAAGTGCTAATCTATTTTAATTTTTTATATTACTTTCATTCATTCATGTGTGATACATGAACTCTTATTTAAAACATTATAGGTGGTAAGTATAATCTATTCCAATTTTAAATGATTTTCTGTAATTGTATTATTGTCCTTTTTATCTTTAATCATTTGTGCACATAAATTCTTACTTACAACACAATAGATAGTAAGTACATGTCTATAGATCTATTATGATTGCTTATGCTTGTCTAAAATAATTTCATTTATTCATCTGTGGCACACAAACTCTTATTAACAATAGGAAGTAAGTAATGATTCTAATACTTTTGTATTATTTGTTGTATTTTTAATTTCATTCATTCATTCATTTTAGAAAGTAAGTACTACTCTATTTCAATTTTAGATGATTGTTTACATGTCTTTTTATCTTAATTTCATTCATTCATCTGTTACAATACAATAGTTGGTAAGTACTACTTTAATGATTGTTTACATGTGATGTGTCTAACTTTGATTTTGATTTTTATTCATTCACCTTTCTTTTTACAATACAATAGGAAGTAAGTGACTTAACATCATTTATAATGTATATTATCCTTTTCTTATTTATTTGTTTTGAATTTATAACACAATAGAAGGTACATTTTATACTTTCGTTTCTTTTAAAATTTTATTTCTTCATTTGTTACTTAAACTCTTATTTACCACCCAATAGAAGGTAAGTACTAACTTTTGTATGATTTTTACATGTCTATCTTTTTTCTTTCTATCTTTTAATTCTACAAAATGCTATTTACAATACAATAGAGAGTAAGTAGCTCTTAATTTTGTGACATACTGTTTAATCTTTTATTCCTTCATTCATCTATAATACAATTTCTTATTTCCAATGCAATAGAAAGTAAGTAATAATTTATTTTAATTTTAGATGATTGTATTTATTGTTATTTCTATCTTTAATTCCTATTCATTCATTTGTGCATGATACATAAACTATTATTAAACACAATAGGAAGTAAGTGCTAATCTTTACTGTCATTTTTTCATCTGTGATACATAAACTCTTATTTACAACATTATAGGCAGTAAGTAATCTATTCCAGTTTTAAATGATTTTTTATAATTTAAACTCTTACTTACAACACAATAGATAGTAAGTACATGTCTATAGATCTATTATGATTGCTTATGCTTGTCTAAATTAATTTCATTTATTCATCTGTGGCACACAAACTCTTATTAACAATAGGAAGTAAGTAATGATTCTAATACTTTTGTATTATTTAATGTATTGTTAATTTCATTTATTCACTTTAGGAAGTAAGTACTGATCTATTTCAGCTTGAGATGATTGTTTACATGCGTATCTATTGTCTTTCTATCTTTAATTTTTTTTATTTATCTGTTACAATACAATAGGTGGTAAGTAATATTATGATAGTTGTTCTTTCTCACCTTTCTTTTTATAACACAATAGGAAGTAAGTGTATAATGTATATAATTGTTTTCTCATTTATCTGTGATGCACTAATTCTTGTTTACAACACAATAGAAGGTACATATACTAAATCTAATAATATCTAGTATATTTTCCTTTTTTAAATTTTGTTTCTTTATTTGATACACAACTCTTATTTACGACCCAATAGAAAGTAAGTTACAGATGATTTTTACATGTCTATCAATTTTTTCTATCTTTAATTTTATTTACAATACAATAGAGAGTAAGTAGCTCTTAATTTTGAATGACTGTTTTCCTTTCAACTTTTATTTATTCATTCGTCTATACAAATTCTTATTTCTAATGCAATAGGAAGTAAGTACTAATCTTTTTAATTTCAGATAATTTGCTTACTTGTGTCTTTACTGGTCTTTCTATCTTAAAATTGATTCATTCATCTGTGATACACAACCTCTTAACTAACACAATGTAGGAAGTAAGTACTATAACTTCAAACGATTATTTGTCTTTACTGTCATTGATTCATCTTTGATACACAACCTACTGTTTAAAACACAATATATAGTTTGTAAGCACTAACCTATGTCAATTTTAAATAATTTCTATTATTGTCATTTTTATATTTATATTTATTTATTTGTCTGTGATACTACAATAGATAGTAAGTGCATATACATGTGTACTATGATTGCTTATACTTGTCTAATTAACTTTATGTATTCACTTGTGATACACAAACTCTTATTAACAATAGAAAGTAAGTAATTCTTTTATTGTCTTATGTATCTTCAGTTTCATTCATTCATCTGTGATACACAAACTCTTATTTACAACACAATAGGCAGTAAGTAATAATTTATTTTAATTTCAGATGATTGTTTACATGTGTTTTATTTTTCCCTTTTATTTACAACACAATAGTTAGCCGATGTAAGTGGTATTCAGATGTTTTTTTACATGTGTATCTATATTATCCTTCTATCTTCAATTTCACTCATTCATCTGTGATACACAAACTCTTATTTACAACACAATAGCCTGTAAGTACTAATCATTAAATTTTTAATTTCAGATGATTATTTACTTGTGTATATATTGTCCGTTTTATCTTTAACTTCATTTTATTTACGATCCAATAGAAAGTAAGTTACAGATAATTTTTACATGTCTATCCATTTTTTCTATCTTTAATTTTTTTACAATACAATAGAGAGTAAGTAGCTCTTAATTTTGAATGAGTGTTTCCTTTCAACTTTTATTCATTCATTCATCTATACAAATTTTTATTTTCAATGCAATAGGAAGTAAGTACTAATCTATTTTAATTTCAAATCATCGTGATTGTTTACATGTGTATCTATTGCCCTTTCTGTCTTTAATTTCATTCATTCATCTGTGATACACAAACTCTTATTTACAACACAATAGAAAGTAAGTACTGATCCATTTTAATTTCAGATGATTGTTTACATGTGCATTTATTGTCTTTTCTGTCTTTAATTTCATTCATTTAATCATCTGTGTTACACAAACTCTTATTTACAACACAAAAGGAAGTAAGTACTGATTCATTTTAATTTCAGATGATTGTTTACATGTGTATTTATTGTGCTTTCTATCTTTCATTTCATTCATTCATCTGTGATACACAAACTCTTAATTACAACACAATAGGAAGTAAGTACTAATCTATTTTTATTTCAGATCATTGTTTATATGTGTATAATTGTTGTTTTTAAATTTAACTTCATTTTATTCATTCATCTGTGCTACAACATATTATAGACAGTAAGTACTTAATTTCTAATACATGTGTATTTTTTCTATCTTCAATTTGACTTGTTACACAAACTCTTATTTTCAAAATAATAGTTGGTATGTACAAATTGATTTAATTGCTACATGTGTATCTGTTGTCCTTTGTATCTTTAAACTTCTCCATTTTAAGTTTCATTCATCACTTTATTGATGCATGCATTTCATGCTTGTTTTTAGAAAAGTGGGTCTATTCTTTCTAACTTTGCTATGATTTAGTTGCTTTATTCAAGATGCTGCATACAGAAAAGCTCTATCAGAAGGAGAGGTGGTGAATGTTGCTTATTCACGTGTTCTTTTTCTGGGTACAGCAGGTGTTGGGAAGAGTAGTTTCAAGAATTCTCTTATGAAGTTACCATGGGATCCTAAAGCTAACAGTACCATCATATCTGATGTCAGCTGTGTTCGTCCCTTTGCTAAGGGATTGCTTAGTGAGCAGTGGGAAGCAGTTACTCGTGAAGCTGAAATTGAAGCAATGGCACACTTGTTCTCTGTTGTCAGCAAAAATGAGAAGTATCACTCTGTTCTTTTTGATCCTGATGATGTCACTAGTACTGCACCAATCAATGACATTGCAAAAGTTAAGCTAGATTCTGTCCTTAGTGAAGTTAGCAAATTTCAAGTTGTTCGACAACCTCGTCAGTTAGAGCCTCATTTTTTAATGCATTTCTGGGATTGTGGGGGTCAACCTGCTTTCCTTGAGATCCTACCAGTTTTTCTCACCTCTCGTACCATATTCCTCCTTCACTTTGATGCCTCTAAAGATCTCGACAGCAAATGGCAGTCAGTCCATCATATTGATGGCACTCGATATGATGGAGAAGAGGTCAATATGTCTACTCTTAGTTACATGCTCAATTGGATGGCTTGTGTTCACAGTCACCTAATGAAGTATGGGGCAGATGGAAGTATTCCTGATTATCCTCGCATGTATTGCATTGGCACTCATGGAGACTTGCTAACAGATGAAGTGAAGGAGCAAGTCAGGAGTGAGTTAATATCTCACTATAAAGATAAAGATTATGCCAAGTTAATATCTGATACCCTCATCATTGATAATACATCATCTGGTAAGGGTGAATCAGAAGATCCTAATATTGAGGTAGTGAGAAGTGCCATCATTGATATCACAAGAAATAAGCTGATAGTAAAAACCCCAATCAGTTGGGTTCTCTTTCGTAAAGTTCTTCAGGCATTGGAGGAAAATATTGTTAGCATATCCCTGGCTGAAGATGTTGGTGCTGTTTGCAAGATTCCTCCAGAAGATCTACCTCAGGTTCTCTTATTCTATCATGATTTGGGATCTGTTCTATATTATCCTCAGCTAGAAGGTCTGAAAGAGAAAGTCATAGTCGATCCAAAGTTCATTATTGATGCTCTTGGAAAGATCTTTACATTTCAAGCTAGCACTACACATGTCAGGGAGTGGGAGATATTTCATCAATATGGTATCCTCATACAACCACTGTATACATCAGTCTGGAAGGAATGTGGAGACATAAAGCCTGAAGATTTCATTGAAGTATTGCTACACTTTCGTCTTGCTGCTCAAGTTACCATTGAAGATCAACATATCTGCTCCTCACGGTACAAGCAATATTTCATTCCTGCCATTCTCAAGCTGTGCCAAAGTAATACGATAGCTACACGCAGCAAGGAGGTTGAGGTTGCATCACCATTTCACATCACCTTTGAAACTGATTTTGTTCCTCCTGGTTTTTTCACTCGTTTTGTTGCTGTTATAGCTAGTCAACCAAGCACATTTCTGTACCTTGAGGAAGGAGTGTATAGGAATCGTGTTACCTTTCGTTACCAGGAGGGAAGGAATAGAAGCATTGAACATTTAACAGTAACAGATCAACATGATGCCATTCAGATTAATGTCCATCGTGCTACCTCTCGTTCTGATCCAGTTCCTTTTGCCAATGTATGTCAAGATATCTTAGTTCTGTTGGAAGATTCCGCTAAAGAAGTGGAGAACATTCTTCAGAATTGCATTGGAAGAGGTTTTGAAGAATTACCAAAATATTCCGTATCAAGATCACTGTGCTACATCTGTGATGGATGTTCTAAACCTGAGAATGAGCCTCCACATTATCTCACACCAGTAAGCGATCTTCTTCAAACCAGAGACTTGGAGATTAACTGTCAAAAAAGCAAAAACTACCGACCGCTTACAAAACAAGAAATAGTTTGGTTCCCTGAGGAGGTAATCAGTTCTTTTGTATTAATCTATAGACCTTGGCATTATATCGGTGTAATTTCTTTAGTTAAGTGAAGCAAATGAGATAGTATTAAAGGATGAGGTTGGAGAGAAATCTAAACACTATCAAAAAGTAAATAGATGTTTAAAGTAGTATTATTTTTTTATTTTGACAAATTTAGAAGTTACATGGAACCAGTGTACTTGATGTAGCATCACCTGCAGTTCGTGAATCTCATTCTGTTAGTACTGCATTAAGTTAATACATGTAATGTTATTAATGTTATTTATAGGATCTAGCTAGTAAGAAAAAGCCAATAGACATATTTCACTCACATTTAGCTTCACTCTGTGATGCTATGGCCACAGACCATATCATTGTTAGAGCACCAATGTATTTCATAAATGATATCAGTAAGCCTGTACTTAATAAAGTTAGAACTTCTGGTATTTCTGCATATGAGAGAGCACAGGAGCTTCTAATGGAATTACGACGTCATCTTGAAGCATCCAGTGACCAACGCCAGCATCTACTTAATCTAATTACTATATTCCACAAAATAAAAGATCCAGTATTGTCCCAGATAGCTGATTCAATGAAATCGGAATTGTAAGAGTATCCTTAATGAGTAACAATAACTATAGTTTAACATACTTATTAACTAATGCTATATTATTTTGTACTTACATAAACTGGTGCAAAATATTAACATAAAATAAAATCAATTATTAATCTGAATCAGAGGATTCATCATCATAAGCCGATAATAAACTCAACGAGTTTAAAGTGGTTGTGGCTGATGGGGGTGGTTCACTAGTGGGTTGAGCTGATGACTGTGAAGATACAGTTTCCTTCCTCCTCACCATATTAGCCAGTTTACCTTTAGACACTCTCAATGATGATACTGATGATGATGAGTGTTCATGACGTGACTTCTTGCTTGGGATCATGTATTCTTGAGTGACATTATCTTCTTCAATTCTCTTTATCTTCTTACTCTCTGCTTGAAACACTGCCCTAATAATATACCAGCTAACTCAATTATAATAATACACTCATCAGTAATGGGACTATACACAATAACAGCAATATACAATAGGACAAGTATCTCATTAACATACAAGTAGTAAGTACCAATCATCATCACCTGATAATATAAACACTATCATACAGATTGATATATGCTACTAATATAACATTCACCAGTTTACTATACTATACAGTAATACTGGGCCTGTATAGTGTGGCTAGTGGTGACTGAAGGGATGAAGTAATACACTATAGATGC